GTTCAAAGGCACTCAAATCACCTTTCTTCCCCATACTGATGCTCGGTTTGAACTGCAGGAGATTGTCTTGACCATGTCTACATGCCTAAATGCACTGAGTTGCTGCCATGTGATTGGCTGATTAGAAATTAAGTGTTAACGAGCAGTTGGACAGGTGTACCTAATAAAGTGGCCGGTGAGTGTAAGTAATCTGAGTTGATGTGAATTGAAATTCGGACGCGGGTTTTATCTCATTTAACTCTGACGCTTGTTATAGGAATAACCACAATCAAGTGTAACTTATGATCTGTTCAATTTGTGTAAATAAATGATTGCATAGTCTTTTATGAATCAACTTGAACCCATCTGAACGTTCACTTATTGTGTCACTTTTCACTTCYCACAGTCAAGATATTAACAAGTAATGAGAAATGCCTTGGTAAAAGTTTCCTCATAACCTTGTGTATGAGAGATGTGGGAAAAGCTTAATACATCTTAAGCTCACTCTTACATATTCATTCTGAAGCTGAATTAAAGCAGCAGGCTAACTTGCTAATGGTGAACATGTGAGTTTGTTAATAAACTGGCAGGCACAACATTGTTAAACAACTTTTGCGAGGGAAGGCAAAAGGTATTGCGAGGTAACGCAATACTTTTGCATGGGAAAGCAAAAAGAAAAAAAATCCCCGATGTTCCTTCGCGGGCTCAGTAGTAGCAGGCAACAGTAAAAATGTGCCTTTCGAAAAAAAAAACTAAGACTAAACAGTTTCCATGTGTTTCTCTGTGCAGGTGTTCTTTGTAGAATCCATCTGCGATGACCCAGAAATTATTACAGAGAACATCAAGGTGACAAACATGTACTCATATTGTACATCTGTTTTTCTAAATAATGATTAAAATGTTATTCTTTAATGTCTGAGGGTAATCTTTTCTTTTAAAAACTGTTTTTCCTAGCAAGTAAAGTTTGGGAGTCCAGATTACATTGATCGTGAAATAGAAGAGGCTATGCAGGACTTTGTGCAGAGAATCGAGTGCTACAGGGCTTCCTATATGTCTATTGATGACGACATGGACAGGTACTACAACCTGTCTGTAAGCAGAAGAATGAGTTCTTTAGAACATTGTCATCATCAAGTCGTCTTGCTTTGTGCCTCCACTTTGACCAGGAAACTCTCCTACATAAAGATCTTTGACGTGGGCAGCAGATACCTGGTGAACCGGGTCCAGGATCACATTCAGAGCCGGATCGTCTACTATCTAATGAACATCCATGTCACGCCAAGATCCATCTACCTGAGTCGCCACGGAGAAAGTGAACTCAACTTGTTAGGTCGCATCGGAGGGGATTCAGGCTTATCGCCCAGAGGACACAAGGTGAGCTCTACATGTAGCTGTTGTTTGGTGTAAATAAAGAAAACTGATTCAGGGTTTATTTTCCCACAGTATGCTGATGCTTTGGCGTCCTTCATCAGGGGTCAGAACATCAAGGACCTGAAGGTGTGGACGAGTCACATGAAGAGAACTATTCAGACCGCAGAGACTCTGGGGGTCCAGTACGAACAGTGGAAAGCTCTCAATGAGATCGATGCTGTAAGTTTATAAAGTAAAGAAAAGGTTTGTTCCTCTTTCAAAGAGCTATAACACATGTTAAAACGTTCTTCGGAGTTTTTGCTACACCTCTTTGCTTCATTTGACAAAGTTAAAAACTAATGAAGTGAGATTTTTTTCTAAGAACTTGGATTCTGAATGAATGATCCAAATACCCTTTATGACTCTGTGACAGTAACAATGGAAACTGTGATAAAACAGTATTTTTTAAAATGTTCTGACGACTATTAGAAAGAAGAACATAAATTTCTAAAACACATTAAAATATTTAGGTCTGCAACCTCAAAAACACTTATGACATAGAAAAACTAGTGGAAGCTAATTTTAAAGCACAAGTTCAATTTGACACTTACTGGCTGGCAACAATTCATGTAAAATATATGCATAACACTGCCAACTAGTGGTGTATGAACCATTGTGCAGCTTAATCCTACAACTGCCGATTGTTGGGGATGTGATTTCCTGAAACAGACTTTTGGCTCCTGGTGTAAAAATTAAAAAGTTGTTGAGGATTGCTAGTTTGGCTGCTTCTTTGTCTTTTTCTTTTGTTTGTTGTAGATTTTTCATAAAAGAAGCATCAATAAAGTAATTTTAAATCTGTTTATTGGGAAAACTGAAGCGATGTATTCTGTGTACATGATGGATTTGATTTGTGACGGGAAACGAAATCACAGAGTACAGGAAACTATCTTCCCTTCAAAATAAGAGCTTGGATTATAAAGTTTTCTATGTGGTTGCTCCAGTTGACCACTAGATGTCAGTCTTCATCAACATAACATCTTTAAATCATTTCTGAGTCTCTAACACCATTGCTTCGACCAATTACGTCAAGTATTGAGCTCCAGCGTTTAAACTTTATTTTTTATTTAAAAAAAGGAGCTCCGATTGTAAAGTAAAATAAATCAATACATACAAAAATTTAGTATGGATTATAAACGTTTACTGTTTTTACTGTTGCCTTCCTGCTACGTAAGCAGACACAAAGCATTGTGGGAAATCAGAACCGTGACCCAAAGCAGCAGTCAGCAGGATGTATACCTTCACAATAAGTGTGTTTATCTGGGAGGGGTGCTGTTGGATAGATCACATGTGTTGTGATTCATTGACAGTCATACCTTCTGCTGTTAACATAATGATGACTGGTAGATAATTAGTTATTAGCAGGACTGCATTTTAATTTTAGAAAGCGCAAATCTGCTTATGAATTATAATAATTAGTAAGTCCGCTAAAATGCAAATGAAATATTTAGGTCCGCAATTAGCGGATTTGCTGGTGCCCACCACTGTTTATCAGCATTTGAAAAAAAAAGGCAGAATTCCAGAAATAAAGTCAGAACTAAGGGATTTTTTTTCTCTCTGTGGCCCTAATACTCTTCTGTACATATCTAAATATGGGTGATATCTTTAAAACAACTTGATCCAGTGTGGTGGTTTTGAAAGTGGACATGGTCTGGACATTGGCTGGCTCAGTTCAGGGGCTGCAGGCTATGGAGCTCACAGCCTAAGTGGGCCCAGCATAAAACCTCATGAAAATGAGATGACCAAGGTTTCGTTTGGATGACGTGTTTGCCTGACCACACACTGCTCCTTTACCATGGTGACCACATGGCTTTTCTCACACATCTTTTCATCTGAGGAATACCTTCACAATTAAAACATTTCCTTTAAATTCATTTTCCTACCTTTATATAAAGCATGGGATGACATTCAACAACACATAAAGTCCATCTCAACACTGGCTCTGTCAGAAAACTCTTGTTCCTCATCTGCTGGACACCTTTTCATGTGATCATATTTATGTGTTTGCTGTGCAAAGGCTGCCTTTTGTTACTGGTAGTGTGTAATAATGTGATGTGATGTTGGATATCTGTGTGTTTTTATGTTCTGCAGAACAGGAACCTGCTGTAAAACAGCTGAGCTAGGCCTGATTTCTATTAATCTTTTCCTGTTTGTAAAAATAAAAATCAAATCCAATAAATTTGAAAAAGCATTAATAGTTTGGGTTTAGCTGCAGTATCAGTACTTGTAGTTTATTTTATTTAACATCTTACTGCAGCATGAGGTTCATCAGCTAAGTTGCTAAACTTACATTTAAAAGGAAATTCTTCGGTCTGTGGTGAATTTCTAAACTACGCTGACTTGGTTAAAAATAAAAAATAACTCAGCAGTGTTTGTTTTTCTGTTTAGTTTGCTGTTGAATCCTGGGATATCCTCAGTCATAAAGGATACTCTCATGCATCCTTTACATCTGTCCAATTTCAAAGACTCCTCTGATGCCAGTAAAACTGGTTCTGATTCTTAGTTGTTCAAGTATTGCCTCTAAGCTAATTTTTTCATTTATAAAGTTAATAAATTAATATTTTCCTAACTTCTATGTATTTTTTGCTTCCATCATTGCTTTTGCTAGGCGACAGGTCATACACTAACAGTCCAAATTCACAGCCACTTTCTTCTGGTTTTTGCAGTCAATGAAGGACCTGGCCCACCTAGACCGGGTAATCTGGGTCCTTTGAAGGACACAGCCCTGCCTAAAACAACCCCCCAACCATTGCTTGGGGTATTAAGATATGCCACTTTCCTTTTTGCTTCTTAATTCAAAACGTGTCCTGAGACTTTTGACTCACACTGGACTTGCATGTTTGAACATTATCTGCACTGACAGCAGTTTTAAGACAATCTAACCCTGTTTCTCTCCTGAAAGGGTGTGTGTGAAGAACTGACCTATGAAGAGATTCAAGAGAATTTTCCTGAAGAGTTTGCAATGAGAGACCAGGACAAGTATCGTTATCGTTACCCCAAGGGGGAGGTGAGTCATGCATACATGTAGACCGTTTGAGATGTTTACCTGTGTACTGACCTTCAGAAGTCTGTACACTTCACATAAAATACACAGCACTCTCACACAATTTAGTGGTGTGTACTGGTGTGTTCTCTATACATGTGAGATGATGGAAAAATCTGTGTAATTTATGGACAGTCCATTCAACTTTAACAGTATGGTCATGCTTTGGATAGCAAAAATACTAGCTAGTTTTGCTTCAGTAATGTGTGTGACTTAAATTGAACAGACATGCTCATATTTACAATTTAAGACAAAGTTTTTAAGATTTGTTTTTGCATTGTGCAAGGGTTCTCTTCCTCTCCACATACACATCTATCTGTGTGTGTGTGTGTGTGTGTGTGTGTGTGTGTGTGT